TACCTTGGTGTAAAAGTGCTTTTTTTTTTTTGTCCAGGGGAAGTGGGGGCTCAAGGTATGGACACTTTTGAAAATAATCAATAAACCTAAGTTTTATAGGATAGGAAGTGGTTAACTTCTTGGCAAGAAAGCTGGTAATAACTCGCCAGACGTGGATTAAACTATATTATCATAACTGATGCCATCGAATTGGTCTCCACTCAGTGAGACCCCCTGTTGAGATTTGAGGCTGCGAATCTTGACAGGAGGAGATTGCCCTTCTCTCTCTGCAAGAGCAGCTGATGGATTCAAACTTCAGATCGCAGCACAACACACAAAGTGATGCCACCTTGCACTCCTTGCATTCTTGTCAATGGCCTTTAAAAAGCCAACCAGCAAAACCCTTTTGATTCTTACTGTAAAAGTAAGGCATGCTTACTGTTGGAAATTCACATACTAACCAAGAGTGTAAGGAAAAAACAAAATAAACTGTGACTCCACATGCCAGAGATGGATAGCATTATTAACATTTTTGGGTGGATTTGTTTTTCTCCTTCTTCCATTGCAAATGTTTGCTGTGATTCAGTGTCTTGCTAAGTCAAATAGGATAATCACATATGCGTTCTGTTTCATAATTTCCAGCATGGTTGGCCTATCATGACAATTATCTTAAGAATGTTTTCACTTAAGACCTCCCATGTTCTTATGATTTTTAACATGGGATCTTAGAGAATAAGGAACGGCTGACCTGACTCTGTGGTTCCTGAGTTCTTAATAGTCAGGGAAGAAAAAAAGAAGCTGGGAACAGTCAATGCCAGGTCTGTGATCATAATCTGTGATCAATGAAGAGGACATAGAATTGAATCAGTGCCCAGATGGGCCCTGCATGCCTGAGTATACTTAAACAAGGGTTGAAACCCAGTGGCCCATTGAAGCCATAGTACTTGCTGCCATGATAATGATAGTGGAATGGTCCAATGTTTATTGAGTAACCATGCTATACTCAGCACTTGGCAGTTACTGAGGATACAGTACTGAAGAAGTGACAGAAATTTCCTGGCTTTCACAACATTTGTATTCAAGGCAGCTGAGGAGGGCCAGAATCTCCCTACTGACATGCAGGAAAATGCAGAGGGCCTTGGCCATTGTGATGAGTGCTTGGAGGAATTGTGAGTGGGTTGTTGAAGAAGTAGGGGCACTTGGTCTGCACAGAGTGGTGTTTCTTGGTCTTTATTTCATTGTTGCTTCTCACATTTATTACATACTTCTTCCTAATCATCCCCAATGAAAGAGCCTTTGCCGGTCATTTCCCCCCTAATCTTCCACTCCTCACATGTCAGATACACTGTTGTTGTATGTAGTTGGACACCATTGAGTCTGTTCCAATCATGGCGACCCTGTGTACAGCAGCTTCAAAACCTTACTAGATCGAGTGCCATCTTCATGTATCGTGTGTATAGCTGTACTTTGAACGTAGAATAGGCGTCTTCTCACTCCTCCAGGAATCAGGTTTTACCCTTTTGGCTGTTCTCTCACTCTGTAAAACTTCTTGCCCTCCAATCCTTTCTGACCTGAGATCTGAAACCTGCTCTATCCTATGCTAACCATCTCTGACACACCTACCCTCATTACCTGAGTCACTGAATCAGTCTATGTCATCAAGGGTCTTCCTCTCTTGTGCTGTCCCTCCACCCTTCCAAGCATGATATCCCTCTCCAAGGACTGGTTCCTCCTTTCAACATTCCCAAGGTATGTCAGACAAAGCCTCAGAATTCTTGTCTCCAAGGAGTAGCCTGATTTCAGACTCTCCAGGATGAACCTTTTCATTCTCCTGGCAGTCCATGGTATATTCAATACTCTTCTCTAGCACCACAGCTCAAAGGCATCAATTCTTTTTCTGTCATCCCTAGTCATTGTCCAGCTTTCTGATGCATAGCAGGTAATTGCCAAGATCCACTTCCTAAACAACATGCCTCTGAACTCTATGAACTTTGATAAATGTTGATAGTTATAGAGGGGCTTCAAGCCTTTTGTTCATTAGGTTGCTATGAGTTGTGCTCGACTCGAAGGCAATCAACAACAACAACAACAAAGGCCTGAATCAGGAGATCAGGAGTCTCCAGAGAGACATCACTGCTCTTCAGTACTCTGGAGAGGTCCTTGATAGCAGACTTTCCCAATGTAATTTGTCTTTTGTATAAGAGAATAAATCCGTTCGTTAAAGCCATCTACCTGTGGTTGTAACAACAGGTAAATAAGACAATAAGGTTTCTCAACTCTCAACCTTGACAGGGGTGAGATTTTGTGGTGGGGCCTGTCCTGTGCGTTATAGAATATTTATCATCATGCCTGGCCTCTACTCACCAGATGCCATTAGCATCTCTCCCCCCGCTCATTTTGGCAACTACATTACAGAGTCCCCTGGAAAGGAGGAGTCGCAAAATCTGCTCATCAAGAACCACCACTTTGAAAGACATGAAATTGAGTCACCCATGAAGCAAACAGAATTCTAGTGCTCATGGCTGGCTAGCCCTCTAGGGAGTGCGACAGCCTCGGGCTGCTTGTTTACCAACAAAAGCTTCCACTGATTCTCTTCTGTAACACCCACCACCTTTTCGAGGGCTCATTCCTGCAATATTTGCCGACATCTGCTTAGAGCTGCAGTGAAGCCAAACTCAGCCATTTATCAAGCCCACGCACCTCTCCTGGCCTCAGCGTGGAGCAAGCTGATTACTAGCTAACTTCAGAAGAAGGGCGATAATGATTTTCTCTTCCCTCCTCTTTGGTGAAATGATTAGACAAAATTGCTTTTTTCAGGCCAACTCAATAACTTCATCTGTAGACTAGAAAGCCCACAGGGATTCAAAGAAACATTTTACCTAGCTTTCTGTGCCCTCAAATGAGAAGATTTAATAATATCTGAGATTGTTAGGGTTTCCTTTCGGGCATCTGCCTTTTGACTTTATTATAAATTTAATACACAAAGCAGAGTAGGGACATTGCTGTACCAGGTTTGCCTCCAGATATGACAGCACAGCTGTACAGGAAGTTGGAAAAAATGAACCTCTCTGCAGTGGGTTGGATGTTATTGATGGTATTTGTCATTGAGACAACTTTGAAACAGAAGGAAATATTGCCCGTTTCTACACCATATTCATGACTGTTGGTGTGATGGCATTAGCCACCGGTACATGGGAGAGTGTTCTTTTGGGATCTGTCTGGTTTTCATTGGCTCATTTCAGCAGCAGGTCAGCAGGCCTCTCTTCCTAGTCCGTCTTCTCTAGGATGCTTCATGGAATCCTGCCCGCCATGAGTGGTCCTGATACTTGAAGCACTGGTAGTATAGAAATATAGTTGCATAGTGTTCCCCCTGAAAATCAAGCCCCTCAGAACCTTAGAATGTGATCTTATTTGGAGCAAGGAAGGGTCTTTGTAGATGTGTTGACAGTAAGGATCTTGAGATCTGACCGTGCTGAATTAGGATGGGGCCTAAATCTCATAAGAGTGTCCTTATTAAAAAGAGTGAAGGATGCACAGAGGCACACAGAGAAAGACTAA